CCCCCCCCCCCCCCCCCCCCACACACACACACTATTAAATCCAATATTTTAACTCAGCTCATAGGTTTAGAATAACACTCTAAATTTGCTATAATCTTGTTTCTTTTCTCTTTCTTCCAGAATGCATTTATTTCTCAATGTAAATAAACATAATTAATTGATGGAAACTTTTACACTAAATATGTAAATAGTAAATAATAAAAGTTTATATTCTATTTTGGCTATTGTACTTTCAGACTTAATGACTAGGATTGTTTTTCTTTTAGGGGAGTTTTTTTGCTCTGGATTCCTGGTTCAACTCCTACTCTAATTCTCCTGTGGATGAAAATGTTTCAACGGATATACACAGTCTCATTGCGCATCACCTGGAAGAATCGTTGAAGGAAATTGGTGCTCTGAAAGAAATGATAGATGGGCATTCTGTGTCATTCCATAAACAATCCGATTCTCTATCTAAGGTGCTGGGGGTACTTTATAGTAACGTGAATTCTCAGAAAGAGTTGGTCGAAGCTTTAAAGTGGGACGTGCAACAGAGTGAGTCCGTTGCAAAAGATAAAGAAATGGAAGGAGATATCTTATGCAGAAACATTGCGGTGCTTTTTGAAGCATGCATATCTACAATTAAGGAAGTTGACCAAAGAAAAGGGGAGCTAATGGGAAATTATTTGACTAGTGGAAATCTGGGAATGGATATTATCTCCATGACACCTGATCAACTTTCACGCTCTGGAAAAACTCATTTATTGTCTGAGGAATCTGTCCGGACAATTGCTGACAGGTTGCTGTGGGCAGTGAGGGAATTTATAGGTTTGAAAGCTGAAATGTTTGATGGTAGTGTAAAAGAAATGAAGGTTGCAATATCAAATCTGCAGAAAGAGCTTCAGGAGAAGGACATCCAGAAGGAAAGGATTTGCATGGACCTTGTCGGTCAAATTAAGGAAGCGGAAGCGAGCGCAACTAGATATTCAATTGATCTTCAAGCTTCAAAAGATCAGGTACATAAGTTAGAGAAAGCAACGGAACAGATGGAGATTGAGAGGAAGGTCCTGGAGCAGAGATTAAGGGAGATGCAAGATGGTTTTTCTATCTCAGATGAGTTAAGAGAGAGGGTCAGGTCGCTCACAGATTCGCTTGCAGCAAAAGACCAAGGTATGTTAAATTATGCTTAAGTCCTTCATAATCCACTTTCATAAGATTGTCAATACTTAGGCTGGCTTTGCATGATGTCCACAGAAATTGAGGCCCTAATGCGTGCACTTGATGAGGAGGAAGTGCAGATGGAAGGTTTGACCAACAAGATTGAGGAGCTGGAAAAATTCTTGAAACAAAAGAATCAGGAACTTGAGAGCACCGAAACTAGTCGTGGGAAGCTCATGAAAAAGCTCTCAATTACAGTGACAAAATTTGATGAGCTTCATCACCTATCCGAAAGTCTCTTAACTGAGGTTGAAGAACTTCGAGCACAGTTGCAAGATCGGGATGGTGAAATCTCTTTTCTGAGACAAGAGGTAACTAGATGTACCAATGATGCTATTGCTGTAACCCAAACAAGCAACAGAAGTACAGAGGATATCAATGAGATTATAACATGGTTTGACACAATGGAAACTCGGGTGGGGCTGTCTCATATTATTCATGACGACCAGCAAAACGAAGTTCATGAATGCAAGGAAGTACTCAAGAAGAAGATTACATCTATCCTAAAAGAAATTGAGGATCTAAAAGCAGCATCACAGAGGAAGGACGAAATGTTGCTGGCTGAGAAGCATAAGGTAGAAGAACTGAAATGTAAGGAATTGCAATTAAACTTGCTTGAAGATGTTGGAGATGGTAATAGAGCGAGCAGTGTGGGCCCTGAAATCATTGAATCCGAACCGTTGGTAAGGTTTTCGGTACCGTTTTCTCTTATTTTGAGTATAGTATTTTTATTTCTTACATCCTGTTGAGTGGAGTTTACTTAGAAAGCATGCTTAGAATAAGAGCCGATTTCGTTCTATATTGTACTTTCAAACATAGTTTCTTGCCATCTCTGATGTTGCATGGTTTTGTTGAAATAACCTCCTGCATGTTAATCCATTTCACTTTCCCCTTAATTATTATATCAACTGAAAAGTTTGCTTAGTTTGCATATGGATGGTAATGTTAAGTTACATTGTTGTTATGAAATAGAAGTACTTTAAACATCCCATACCTTATTATTATCGTCCTTGTGAAAAGTTCTACATTATTCTCTCTTGCGCAGATCAATAATTGGGCAAGCAGTACTTCTGTTATACCTCAAGTTCGAAGCTTGCGCAAAGGCAATACCGATCAAGTTGCAATCGCGATAGATATGGATCCTGCTAGCAGTAGTAATAGATTAGAGGACGAAGATGACGATAAAGGTAAAATTGTAAACTAACGTGGTTATGATCTTCTTGCTTTTCGACCTTTTCGTTTGATGCCAGATTGCTTCTATGAACCTATTGCTTTAACTATCGTTCCTCCTCCTCCTCTGCAGTGCATGGATTTAAGTCATTAGCTTCATCAAGAATTTTTCCAAAATTCTCGAGACGTGCGACAGATATGATCGATGGACTTTGGTAGGGCATACAGATATTCTTTTCAGTCTCTTAAATATGTAAATCTGAACAAGTGTATAACATGATTTCGTGTACAATTTTTCCAGGGTTTCTTGTGATCGAGCACTGATGCGGCAACCTGCATTACGACTGGGGATGATATTCTATTGGGCCATTTTACATGCACTTCTTGTGGCGTTTGTAGTTTGAGCAGTCCAGTTTGTAAGTTATTCAACTTTTCTTCAGCTGTTCGCAAATCTTTTGTTTTTAATCTTTTCTAAACTTCTTAAACTTTCAATAGACATGAATTTTTAAATTTGTCTCGCAAGTCAATCATTAACATGTTCAATATTTTTTAAACTTCACGATCCACTAGACACAAAGTTGAAAGGTCATGAAAGGTCATGGATCAATTAAATATAAATTTAAAAGTTTAAGAACCAAATTTATAATTTAACCTTAATATTTTATATATATGAATGCGGATCGTTGATCTTCGTCTGCCTTCACCCTTTTCCAGGTCCATAATTGATTTGAAGTAAAGAAGAATGGAGTTCATATCATATATAGGTTCGTTCCCCCTTCCTTTCCATAGATAATTAGGCTCCTCAGTCTACAGGTTTACTATCATTAGAGTAGGCAGATGACTTAATTTTTTTTGTTCATCCAAACTTCTGGGATTTCCCCCATTTTTCCCTACCAAATCCCACAGATTGTTTGGCTGGATCAAATCATTATCACACAATCTTGTCTATTAGGAAGTGTAGACCATTAATTTGTTTACTCAGAAACCTTACCATCTTTCAGATTGTAATAGACAACAATTCTTGTTACAAAATTTTGCTCTCCAGCTTTTAGAAAAAGCAAGCAGCAAGCTTTGCACCATTTTTTCAGGCTAGGTTGAGGCTTGAGTTATATAATCATATTTGCAACCGAGTCAAGGTTATGAACTTTCCACTACTTGAACTATACTCACGTTGATAATTTGTACATCAGGTTGTGGATAGGTTGTTTGCTTTATCACTATCTGATTTATTTTATTTTATTTTTTGTCTTTTTGTGGCGTCTATTACGATGGAGGTGAAGCCTTCTGAATGTAAAATGTTTTAATCGTGGGGGTTTTATTCGTGTTTCTATAATATAAATTGTTAAATTATTTTTTTCTTGATATAAATAAGGAGCAAGTTTTTGTATTCTCACCATCCTCTGCCTCCTACGCCGTCGTAGTTATTGCAGAAAGACAGACCCATCAATGACTTCATCACCAAACACCCATGTCGTGGTCTTCCCTTTCATGTCTCACAGCCACACCTTCCCATTGATAGACCTCTCAATAGCTCTCTCTCGACACCAAGCAAGAGTCACTATTGTCACAGTCCCAGCTAATTCAAGCTTTATCTCTCCCAGAATCCAAACCATCCCTCTCATATCCCTCGCCGATCTCCATTTCCCCGCCATTGATGGCCTCCCCGAAGCTTGCCGTTGTCAAAACCTCTCTGAAATTCCTTCTCTGCAGTTCTTCGTCTCTTTCCTCACTGCCACCACCCCTTTCAACAGCTCCTCCAATCCATGGCGGATTCCGGCGACCTCCCTTTGTGCGTCATCACTGATTACTTTCTTGGTTGGAACGCCAGCATTTGCCAAGACTTCGGCGTTCCAAGATTGGTCTTCCATGCCACCGGCGTTGTGCCATTTCTCATCACCAAAGCCATTATGGCCAATGCTGATAACACGGCTTCTGCTTCCTCTATCTCTACTCTTATCCACCGGCTTCTGCCGAATCTGTCGTTTAATTTAACTGCCGCCGAATCTGTCGTTTAATATAACTGCCGCCGATGTCCTCGACGTCAATTTGTCGTCGAACACCGACAGCAACCCGTTCGCCAAATTCATAGCCGAGGCAGGGGAGGCTGAATTGCAGAGTTGGGGGGTCATTGCCAATAGCTTTGTCGAGCTCGAAATCGACTTTATTTCGCCATTGGAGTCCTTTTACTCGAAAGGGGCGAAAATTTGGTGTGTTGGTCCTACTTTTCTCTATGGACGAGAAAGCACCACCAATCATCACAAGGACGATAACTCTGTTTCCTTGATGAAATGGCTCGACGGACGTGCGGCGGAGGCATCGTAGTCAGTGATCTATGCAGCGTTCGGGTCACAGGCGGTGCTGACGGACGCCGAGATGGAGGCGATGGCGCTTGGATTGGAGGATTCCGGGTGACCGTATGTGCTAGTCATTAGGTCGAACACTTGGTGTGCACCAAAAGGAATTGGGTCAAACGGGTTGATTGTGAGGGGGATGGTGGACCAAATCGGGATTCTATTCCACAGCGCAATCGGGGGGTTTCTGAGCCACTGCGGGTGGAACTCGATAATGGAGAGTTTGGCGGCGGCGGTGCCGATTCTGGCGTGGCCAATGATGTCGGAGCAGAAGCTGAATGCGAAATACAAAATATATTTGGAAAAAAATTAATATTTTACTTATTTAAGAATAAAAAAAAATGACGCAAATGAACTGACCCAAGCTATGATTTTGGGCTGGACTTAAATTGGAGCTGGGCTGGGCTGGGCTTGGACTGATATTTGGGCCACAAGCCCAATGAAGCTGGCCCATGGCTTCCTCGAGTTGAAAATAAGAATTCGCTAAAATGTTGGGTTAGTTTACTGATTTCGAAACTTTGGAGGAGTCCGATCTAAATTCGTCGGACATTTAACACACAACTCCGTAGTTTACGAAAACCCAGGTGTATCTGAAACTTGAAGAGAGAAACCCGTCGGGCTGCTAGGGTTTTTCCTGTACGTTCATCGTCGTCTCCGATCTGTTCGTATGTCTTCTTGATTTTTCTTTTTCTTATGGATTTTCATGATTGCTTCAAGTAGATTCTCATTTCGAAAGATTTATTATTATCAAACATCCGGTAATTTTCCGGCGAATTGTTAACCCCATGCCCAGGCTCGATTTTCTGTAGTTGAATTCGAGGAGCAGCCCTTATTTGAACGGATTCTTTGGAGAAGTTCTGTTTGTTTAGTGTATTTTTAGGAGAATAATATGCGAGTAAGTGTATTGTATTGTCTGATTCTTCGTGTAACTGGCAGGTTACTTGGCAAAAAATGTCTCGGGTGTACGTTGGGAATTTGGACCCGAGGGTCTCTGAGCGCGAGCTGGAAGACGAATTTCGTGTATTTGGAGTTATTCGAAGGTATGGTATATTTAACTTTGTGGCCTACTGTTTTATTATTCTTCGTAGTTTGTACAATCTACTACTGTTGGATTCTGAAGCAGATTTCTAACTCCTTCAACTGTTAAATGCCTTTTGTTAGACAAGATACTACCTGTAATTTGGTTTAGTTCACTCTTGATATAAATTCTTACCAGCCACTCTACTTGGCTTGCGCACCATTAATTTTATGTTTTCAAGAATTCCGAACATCAAGTTGTTAAGTTTTCTTATTTATCTTCTTATTACCAACTTTTCGGCCGTGGCTGTTCATCCGGAAGTAAATGTCAAATAGTTTTGATTTTATTTCGGGCATCTGTGGACTTCATGGTTTACAGCTGGGAATTGAAGAAGTTTCTGTGTAAGGGAGCTGGAACTTATCTCCATGGAAAAGGGGCAAGAGCCTTTATGTGTCTATAGATGTTTACACCATAGTCCTATAATGCAATGCACTTATTATTCATTAATTGGGTAGTTAGCTAGATTTAAGACCTGGACATTTAGTGTTTTTTTTTTTTTTAAAGGTTCCATTAGGACAAGATTGTTTTATTATATCTGTATTTTGGTGGTAGCACTTAGGAATAGGAATTGATAACAGTAGAGTATTTATATTTTGACCAAGTGTTTGTTGACACTCCCTGATTCATAATCTGATGACCGTTGAGGATTAAGCTGTTCATAGGGGAAAAGTTCCCCACCTTCTTGGATGTTAGGCCGAGTTATACATATTTTATTTATTTTAATCAGTTGGTTACCCAATTGCAAATGTTGTGTTTCAGTGTATGGGTTGCACGAAGACCCCCTGGTTATGCCTTTATAGATTTTGATGATCCCAGAGATGCACGGGATGCAATTCATGAATTAGATGGTATGTATGGGTTTTTCTGTTGTTTTGTATTGTTTTTTTATTGGTACATGCCGTTGTATTTTGATGCAGTTTTTGTTGTTTGTCATTGGTGCTTTGTTTCATACACATATCTTAACAATGATATTACATAATAGTTTATGCATAACTCAGTAACTAATTCGTTATGTGCTTCTTAAATCTAAGTGTACGAAGTTTAAGCTCATAATGCCTTTTTGTCTTCAGACAAGCTATTGTATCCACTATTATTTTGTTGATCTTTATTCTTCAGTCTATTGTATATAAGCTAGTTTCTATTTTGTGATATGTTGATGGTTTGTCAGCTTTTCCTTTTTCATAATTTGTGTTTGAGCTTGTTTAGTGATGCCGTGCCTATATTCCCTTGTTTAATGAAGCTTTTGTTCGTGCATTTCCACTGAGCTGCTGTCACATTTTTGCATTTATGGTTTTTTGTTTCTGATTTATGATTACCATTGTCAATTCTGATTCAGGGAAGAATGGTTGGAGAGTTGAGCTTTCTCACAATTCTAGAGGTGGTGGTGGAGGTGGCCGAGGAGGGGGTCGTGGTCGTTCTGGGGGTTCTGATCTCAAATGCTATGAATGTGGTGAGCCAGGACATTTTGCTCGTGAATGTCGTTCACGTGGCGGCGGCGGGGGTGGCGGCGGCGGCGGTGCTGGAAGAAGACGTAGCCGCAGTCCACGGTACCGTCGGAGTCCAAGTTATGGTCGCAGGTTTGATCCTTGAATCTTGCAACTTATAGTTTTTGTTGTATATTATTTTGAAATTTCTTACATTAGTTTTTTTTCCCCAGTTGTCTGTATTTGGATTTTGTTTATGTTCTTGGATGTTTGACATCATTAGTGTATTTTCAGGAGTTACAGTCCCCGTGGAAGATCTCCAAGACGCCGCAGCTTGTCACCTCGAGGGCGTAGCTATAGCAGATCACCTCCGTATCGTGGTAGAGAGGAGGTTCCTTATGCCAATGGGTGAGGCTGTCTGATATGTTTTGCTTTGTTACATTTAATTCCTATTCCATGGATGTTATCTGCTAAGTCTGCGTGCTATAAGCTATTCTCTAAATTTAGTTTTTTTTTGTTCTTTTCAATCATCAATGAAATTGTCTCTTATAAAAAAAAAAAAAAAAAAA